ATGGGACTTCAAAACAAGATGATATTAAGTCAGCACTAGCTATTATGATATCTAGTTTTCTCCAAAATAGCTATTCCTACCATCCAACCTTCTCTGCCTTATTTCTGTTGAGCTCCTTTTCTGTCATTAGTGGTCAGTTTGTCTTCTTCATTTCTCTTTCTGCTCCATTCATTGTGGCCTCTCTGCCACTGTTTCTGGAATCTTGGTATTTTTCTTTTTTAGGATGTCCTGCAGTATTCTCTGTAGAGTTGAATTAATGGTTGCAAATTCCCCTAGTTCCTCTATCCTGAAAGCACCTTGTTTTTCCATCAATTTCTAGGGACAGTTGTGCAGGATATATCAATCTTGGCTGGAGGTTATTATTATTTTTTTTTTTTGTCTTTTTCATTTTTATCGGTACCAGGGATCGAACTCACGACTGCCTGCTTGCAAGGCAGGCGCAGGAGGTTATTTTCTTTCAAAGCTTGAATTATTTCCCCCCACGCTCTTTGTGATTTGATGGTTTGTGCTGAGAAGTCTGCTGTAATTCTGATGGGTGTTCCCTTGATCTGTTTCTTGTCTCTGACGGCTTTTAATATTCTGTTCTTATATTGGATTTCTGGAATTTTGATTATTATGTACCTGGGTTTGGGTTGTAGGTGGCTGGAGTCCTGTATGCCTCATACATCTGAGTATCTTTACCTTTTGCTAAATTAGGGAAATTCTCCTGGATTATTTCTGTAAATAGCCTTTGTAGTTCATTTGTTTGTGTCCCTACTTCTTCTTTTACGTTCTTAATTCTTAAGTTATAGATCCTCTTATCGTCTTCTAGTCTTTGTATTATTGCTGTTTGTTTCTTTGTTATTTTTAAGAAGTTTTTCATTTCATGCTCCCACATTACAAATCTGTCCTCCAGTTCAGATAATCTATCCTTAATCTCTTTCAAGCTGTTATGCCAGCTTTCAATAGAGTTTTTAGTTTCCTGGTACTCTCTTTGAACCTGCTTCACGTATTCTATGTTTTCTCTATTTTCTCCATCAAACAGTTCTACCCTTTTTTTCTTTTCTTCCATTCCACCATCTGTTTTTTCTTGGGTGGTGCTTAGCATTTTTCTCTAACTATTCTACTTATATCTTGCTTTACTTCGTTAAATACTTCACTTTTGAACTCGTCTATGAGGCTCTGGAGATAATTGCTTTATGTCTATTGGTGCCATGTCTGATACTGCATGTTTTCTGTCCTCATTCTCCTTTGCATTTACCCTTCCTGGATCAGTATTCTCAGGATTGGGGGCCGAAGACCCTTTCTTGTTGCCTCCTCTTCTCATAGTTTTTGTTCCTTCCATACAGGCATATATAGGAGGCCCAGTTTCTTTCTTTGTTGGTTACAATTTGTTTGAATCTGCTGGCTAGGTGTTCCCGCCCACTGCAGTGTACTAGGGAGACACAGACCGGGGCAGCATATGTTGGGCCCACCCCTCCAGGTCAACCTACTGAAGGCTTCACTGCTAGGGTGCACTGCCAGTCGCTGGGACCTGGTTTGGGCTAGCCTATTGGGTCTTAGTCTGCCATGTCACCTAGACCAAGCACTCCCCACCAATCCCGCTTGAGAGGGGAATATGCGACTGAAGTCACTGCAGCGTCCTGTTCTGTCTAGTCTGCCCGGTCCCAGAATGTCCTCTGCTACAGCCTCCCAGTCCATGGAAGGGTCCCCGCTCCTCTCACTCACTGCAGGTCGATGCAGGGCTCCCTACCAGTCCGGCTCTCAACTCCATTCACCGATTCCCGCTCTCAGAGCTTTCGCATCTCTGTCCCTGTCTGCCAATTCAGACGCAGCGGCGGTGGCAGGAAATTCAAATTGCGGTTTCCAGAGGCGCGGGTTCCAGGTTTGGCGCTGAGATTTTATCTGTTCTGGTTATAGCACCAGGATTGCATTTCCAGTTGGTTTCTCTCAGCTTAGTTCGTTCCTGGGTCAGCAGGGCTTAGGACTGCTGACCTTAGGACTTTCTTAGGACTCCTCACACCGCACCATTCCTGGATTCTAAGCTGGCTATCTCAGAGAGCCTCCATAGCTGCTGTTATCTATCTGCCATGTTCTCCCGGAAGTCTAAATCACCACATCTTTTTCATCCGTTCCTCGGTCTCTAGGCATTGAGGTTGTGAAACCAGCTTCCCTTGTACTGGTGGAAATGTCCTGAGTGGCATTAGGGGGAGACCACTGGATGATGCATGATGCACCACGAGCAGGGCCCAGCCCTCTCACTGGCTTTTTGTGGTGTTTATTGAACTTGAACTGAGAAAAAAGGTTAATCGCATGCACATGGCTCAGCAGTGACGGCTGTGGTGAGTGTGGAGAGATCCCGCACTGGCTCCATGCAAACCCTGCCTCTTTGTCTGTCCCATCTGTCACGCACGTGCAGCGTGCACACACCCGCAGCAGCCACACAGATAACCACAGTTACCCACTCCTGGTGTATTCCTGTGTGTTGGGACGCTGAAGCTGAATACATTGCAGGGCTGCGTCGTGGCCAGGCGTGGCTGAACTGAGGAGGAGACGCCTCAGGGGCAAGAGAGGCCACAGCTGAGGCCACCTGGAGGCTTCCCAGATAGCTCTTCTTAATTAGCATTGCCTGTTGCGCTGAGGGGTCCTTGAACCCCTCCTGAGATCCTGCTCAGGGTTCCCCCATTGTCCACTCAGCTCCTTGCTTGTTCTGATTAAATACAGGCTGCCCAGGGTCAGTTGGCAGCTGGCTGGCTGAGTTATGAGCTCTGCAGAGGATTTCACACCTCCTGCAGCCCTAAAGACCCTGCCCTTTGTCTCGTTCCTTTGGGCCTTTGCCGTGTACTCATCTGGGGGACTGGAGATCTAGGCACAGACCCCAACATTTGTAGACTGCCTTGGGGTCCACAGGTAAATACAGGTGTGTGTGTGTATGCGTCTTCATCTATTTGAATGCAGAGTGTCAGACCCTCTGTTCTCTTTTTTTTCCAAATCTATTTCAAGGAGGAAAAGGAAAAAAAAGAAATAAAACCAAAACAAAATTTGAAAACACATCAGCCAGGGGCAACAATGGTGCAAACATTGTGCGTTGTCATCCCCAGATCACTCGCCCAGAGCACAGGACATGTGCTTCCAATTACACAGACAACACGAGCACAGATCTTTCCCTTCAGTGGACTCAGAGAAATCAGTAGTATAACTACCTTAACTATTTTTTATATCCATCTACAAACCTATATACATGTTGCTTCTTTCAGCTTCTCACACTAGTGAGACAATATGATGTTTACACGTCTGTCTGATGGGTATGGTCCCAAGGTGCAACCATTTACATAGGAGTCTCTAGTTTATCCTTCTTTATGGCTGATTAGTACTCCACTGCACAAAACCATCACCTCTTTTTTATCCTTTCCTCAGTAAGACCCTGTGTCTCTTCTGCAGAGTTTTCTACCCCTTGACAGTGTCTGTTCTGAATCCTCCCAGGTGGATAGGCAGGACCTCTCAGCCCCATTCTCCTGATGGACATCCAGGTCTTCCCAGGGGAAGTGGCCAAGCTGTGAGGACTCCGGAGGAGCAGGCCTTGCTGGCAGACCTGAGCACTGGTCCGCTTGGCTGTGTGGCCAAGTTCCCTGCCCAGGCTGTGTGCAATGCACCACAGTACTGTAAATGCTGGTGGGGGGGCCTGCTGGGCCCAGGGGGACCCTCGGCTCCCACAGACCTCTCGCATCTGCCCAGACTCCTGAGTGGGTCCCCTCCTTCCTTCAGGCCCCCCTATTTAGGAAGCCGCAGACCACTGCCTGGCTGAGGTCTTTTGGGGATCTGGGGGCTGCCTCCCTGACAGACTCAGGAGCCCCTGCCTCTTCAGCCCTCACCCCCAGCTCTTTACAGAGGAGAGCAACCCAGGCCTGGCACCCCAGCTCTGCCCCGAGCCCCCCACCCTCTCTGTACCTATCTGCCAAACTCCAGCTCCTCGAGGCTGAGACCCCACCAAATGTCCCCTTGATGAGCCCCCTCGAATCAGCCCTATCATCTCTCTGGGTGCCCCCTCACCCCACACTTGGACCTCACTGGCTTATTCACTTCCTCCACTACGTGGCCTGTGCCAGGGTGGCCGGGCCCCTGCGCCCTCCCCACCGCAGGACAGTGGCCTCCAGTGCTGCTCTCCCCGCCCTGCCTCTGTGGCAAATCTAGGCTGGAGACCCCGTCCACAAAATGGGCAGGTGAGCGTTGGCCCACAGACTCAAAACCTCTGGGCTTCAGTTCCGGGCTCTCCCTGGGGAAAGGGGCACTGCATCTCCACCAGGAGCCAGTGGGAAACTGAGGCTGGGCCCCCGAGAGGCACCCCAGCTGCAGATTCCGCAGCCAGGGCCTAGAGCTGGGGGTCCGCAGAAAGCTCCTCCAAACCAGGGGTGCCCCTGAGCTGCACTGCAAGGGCTTTGTCCAGGGCCTCTCCCCTCCCCAGGGACTCTGCTCTACCCCATGCCCAGCAGGAACTGGGGTGCAGAGGGCCACATGGCCCCACCAGCTGCACGGGCCCACAGCCCCTGTCCACAATGTGGCTTCCAGGGTCCATTATGAAGTGATGTTTCGCTGGGACGTGTGCAGAATTAAGATGGGTAGGAGTCCACCTCCTACTTTCCCTCCCTCCACCCCAAGTCCTCAGCAAAGAGGACTAACGGAGACCCCAAAGGGTCATGATTCCTCCCTCTCAATTTTTTTTTGAGTCAAGGTCTTGCTATGTAACCCCAGGTGGGTCTTCAATGAGCAGCAATCCTCCTGCCTCAGCCTCCCCAGTGCTGGGATTGTAAGTGTGCACTACCACACCCAGCCTGATTCCCTATAGATGAAGAAACCAGCAGAGCAGCCCATACCCCCATCCACCACTCAGCTCACAGGGGTGCAGGGGTGTCCTCTGGGACCAGAGGAGGCGCTGGGGAGCGGGGCAGCCTGGGGACAGGGTTTTGTCCACATATCAAGAGCGCCAAGTTTGCAGCCCACAGAAGAAACCACTCCACAGCCACTTTTGGAAATAGCTTTTTTTGTTTTGTTTTGTTTTTCCTTTTTATCGGTACCAGGGATCGAACTCATGACTGCCTGCTTGCAAGGCAGGCGCTTATGCCACTGAGCTAAATCCCCAGCCCCGGAAATAGCTTTTTATATCACACTATAAAAACCCAGATCTTACAAAAGCAGAACAATAAAAAATAATACTAATAACATTACACAAGGCAACTCCTACAAATGCACAAAACCCTAAATGCGTCCCTTTTGGGGGGATACTGGGGGTGGAGCCAGGGCCTTGGGCATGTGGGATCCCAGCAGGCTTAATCCTGCAGCACCCACTGTCCTGGAGCTCTGAGCTGCATGCAGGTGGCTGGGATCACAGATGTGTCCACCACACCTGGCCGGGCTCTAGGCTCCTGAGGCAGTACCTGGGGAAGGAGGGGTGTTCCAAAGAGCTGCTGCTGAACCCCAGCTTCGCATACCCAGAGGCGTAGCGGAGGCCCAGTTGGCTGGACCCAGGGGGAGCAGTGCTTTTGTGGGGAGGGGACAGAGATTTGTTTTCCTGAAGTAGAACAGGAACACAGTGGACCTTCAAGGGCCAGCTGCAGAGCACGTCAGTGACCCCAAAGACTCTCTCAGGGAAGCCCTGGGAGGGACAGGAGGATCCAGGCCTGAGCCCCAAGGGCAACCTACTGGCCCCCGAGCCCTGCTCGTGGGTCTGCTGCCTTCCCCGGCTCACCATGGGACCCCACATGCTCCTTCCATGCCCCAGCTGGGAGTCCCCCGAGATCTGTCTGCAGTCAGAGCTGCTGAGCCCAGGTTGGCCCGGGTCCTAGGGAGCCAGCAGGGGCACCAAACCCATCCATAGGAGGGGTGGCCCAGGATCCCCGGCCCCTGACTGTACCTTTTACACCCCAGCTTGCTGCTTGTGTGCGCCAACAAGGGTCAGCCAGTTCTTTGGGTGCCCACATTGGGTGCCCCATTCCACCTAACACACATGAACTGGGCTCTGCCAGGCTCCAGTGGCACACGGTCTGCTCCAGTGGCACACGGTCTACTCCAGAGCCAGGCTGGGCATCAGAACGCAGGAGGCCTGTGAGGGGGTTTGGCGGGCAGTGCCAGTCCCGACAGCCTCCAAGTGGGAAGGGCAGCTGTTCCCCGAGGCTCACAGCAGGTCAGCTACAGGAAAAGCTATCCAAGCTTTATAAGTGAAAACAGGGGCCTCGAGGGCGCTCGAGTGCCAGTGTCGAGGTCCAGGATGTTCCGGATGCTCTTGGCATCACTGCTCGATAGGTTCCCCTTGATGGCCAGGATGGCACTCAGGTGGCCTTTGCTGGTAAGGAGAGGACATCCTGTCAGCTCCACCAGCCCCCAGGACCCCAGGAACACCCCACCAGCTGCCCAGATTCCATCCGAGCCTCAGGGCTGAAGCCACCTCGGCCTGCTGGGGCCTCACCAGTCCTGTCCCACCTTGCTAAGTGCTTTTCCCACGGCCTTCCCATCCTCCAGCTCTCAGCCAGCTGCCACTGCCACGAGGAGCCTTTTCCACCCCTGCAGCGGGCACCTCCCGCTCAACTCTGCAACAGCAACTGCCATGGTTCCCTGCCTATCACTGCTGCTGGCCTTGGACAGGCTGTCAGCTACACAAGAGACAAGGACCTGGCCTGTCTCGTTCTTCATTGCCTCATGACTGTCACAGAGCTTGGCACCCAGCAGACTGCAAAGTAAGTGCTGGTGGGATGGATGGGTAGCAGGATGGGTGGATGGGTGAAGAGGCGGGTAGCTGAGCGGATGAGGAGATGGGTATTTTTATGGATAGACAGATGAACGATGACACCTGGAGTAGCTCAGCCAGAGGCTAGATTAGGATAAGCAGATCGGCCCCAGGCAAGGCCCATTCAAACCTTCCCTGCCACATCAGAGGACACAGCTCTGAGAGTCAATGCCCATGATTCAACCAACCCTTGGGAAGCCAGGGCTAAGCCTCTATTCCAAAACTGGGGCCCAGGGCCCCAGGCCCAAAGCTTAGGTCCAATCCCCAAGGGCTCCTATATCAGGGAGACCCTGGGCTCTCTGCTGTCAGTTGCCTGAGTGGCAGCATCATGGAAGGCCAAGCACATGGCCTGGGGACACCCAGCAGCAGCTGGTGGGTTGCTCTGGTGACACAGTGGCAGCTGAGCCATGTGGGGCTGAGCAGCTGACCACGCTCCAGGGGTCCACTGTGGGGTCCGGCTGGACCACACCAAGGCTCCGGTCCCAGGCCTCTCATTCTCACCTGAAGTCGGGGTATGAGGTGGCATACGTGGCCACCTCCATCTTGATGGCACTGGGGTCTTGCAGGCGGATGATCTCGGCAAGCGTGGGGAGGGCAGGGTGCAGCCAGTTCGCAGGGGAGCCCTGAAGACACAGATCAGGCTTGTGGGAGGCTACGTGGCCTGGGTGGCTTTCAGGCTCAGGGCAGGGGGTGCTAGGATTTGGAGACCCTGAGGGGTTGCAGGGCTGTAGGACTCAGAAGGGGGCGGGCCAGGCTCACGTTCTGCATGCAGAAGTGCTGGATGGCTTCAGCGTTGGCCAGGATGTGCCTCGCCAGCTGCTGCTGCTGCTCGGCTGTCTTGAGGACCAGGGGGCGCTTGCAGAGGCAGACGATGTATTCCTTCACCAGGTGCAGGTGCACAGCCTCCATGAGCTCCTGCCAGGCAGTGCCACAGTGGCATGAGCCAACCAATGATGGGGAGCTCACCACTGCCCAGAGGCCTCAAAGCCAAGAACCCAGGGAGGGTTGGAACCAGAGCCCAGGGCTGCACATGAGTGCTGGGGGTCACAGGGGGTGCACACACGCCCCGTCAAGCAGGGGTGTCTGAGCGCCCAGGCCCCAGCCCCAGCCCAGGGGCTCACCTCCCAGCAGCCGTCCTGTAGCTCCTGGAACTGTGGCAGCTGTCCGCCCACGGTGGTAAGGATTTCCTCCAGGGTTTCGGCAGGCGCTGCCCAGCGGGTCTTCGTGAACCTCTTGAACAGAGGCTGAGACAGGAGAGAGGCAGGATGTCTGGTCACACCCAGGAGAGGAAGGGCTCCAGGCACAGTCACCCTCCTACAGACACACATCCCATGCCCCCCGTCGGGCTGGGACTTAGAGAGGGCAGGTCCTGCTCCCCCAGACGGGAAGTGGGGGCAGAGTTCTTGCATTTCTCCAAGGTCACCCAGCTGCTGCCCAGGAGCCAGGCCCGCCTGTCTGCTGGCCCCGAGGCCCTTTCCCCTGCCTCCCCTTAAAATAAATAAATTCCTGCATAAACAAGGCTGTCTGCTGGATGGGGCCTGCAAAACCTGGGCCAAGTCACTGAGAATCACGGCCCCAGCCTTCGTCAGCACTCTCCTAGGCTTTCAAAGGACCCCCAGCTCCCCCTGCAGATTTCTTGGCCCCTGAGAGACTGTGATCGTGGCTGCTGAAATCCCTGCGCCCAGGAGCTAGGTGTTAGGTGGCATTGCAGAGGTGGGGCCGGCGGGAGGGTCTAGGGCAGCCAGACTCGGGACACTGGGGCTTCTCCAGGCCTCCTGAGCCCCTCTGCGCCTTCCTCCCTTGCAAGGCTCAGGACGGTTGCAGGGAAGGAGCTTCAGGCACCTTCAGGTCCAAGAACAGGCTCTGGAGCAGGGTGTCAAAGCTGTGGCTCTTGAGTTCCCTCAGGGGGTCCAGCAGGTGGCTCCGGGGATCCTGTATCGCCTGCCAGTTCTGCTCCATGGATGTCCTGGATGGTGGAGCCCGGGGTCACACAGCCTGCCCAGCCTACAGCCCATAGCCAGGGAGCCCCAGGTGGCTCTGCCGGAACTATCTCTTCACCTAGCGCCCCGCTCCCTCCGCTGTCCCTGTGGCTCCAGTCCAAGCCCTCCCACCTGCGCCCTGCCACGCACTGCACGCATTCACTCTGCCACAAGCTTCGTGTGATGCCTGAGCCCTGCGCCGTGCTGCTGTGTGGACTGCTGCCCAGGAAGTCACTCCCAGGACACCTCCGGGGTAGCTGCTGGGCCTGGTCCTCCCCACAGCCTCCCTAAGAAGATGCCACATCTCCTGCAGCTCCTCCCCACTCTGCCCCCCAACCCTTGTCTCTCCTGGCAGGTCTGCCCAGACCCTCACCGGAAGGCTGGGCAGTTGTTGATGTTGGCAATGACGTTAGCCCTGTAATTTCTCAGCTGTTTGCCTCTTTCCAGAAATTCATCGAAGGTGCGCTGGTAGCTGTGGAAACCAGAGGGGGCTCCTTTCAGGGTGAGCACTGCCGTGGCCTTGGGAATGGTGTGGTCCTCCGTCCCTGTCACTATCACTGTCACTGCTCCGCCCACCCCGTGCATCTGGGCAACCAGAGAGTGCTGTGTCTGGTCCTCAGGGGAGGGGTCCCCAAGTTTATCCTGGGGTGGAGACTGGGGGTACAGTGGGAAGGTGTGGCAGGGCTGCCGGGGTGTCCTATTCGAGACTAGGGACTGCTCTGCTGGGAGCTTGGCCGATGCAGGTGGGGACAGGAAGTGTCCACACCAATGCCTGGTAGCCCTTGGTACCCACAGGTGGGGCTGGACACAGGTGTCAGGGGCAGGTGCAGGGCTGACCTAGCTCAGGTCCCAGGGAGGCAGGAGGGGCACACACACCTCCTCAGGAACGTGGCCAGCTCCACCAGCAGGATCTGCTTCATCTGCAGCCCCAGACTGGGGGTGATGTTCTCAGCCTTGGCCTGGCCTTGGGAGACGATCTGTCGGGGGAGGGAGGAGGGCCAGGCAGTGGGTGCTGGGGGTCTGGTGTGCATGCACCTGGGAGTGGGCATGCGTCCCACCCGCTGTGTGTGTATGTCTGTGCATGCGTGTGCAGCCTGCAGTACCTGGATGATGTCGATGGCCAGCTCACTGTGGCAGCGGCCGTCCAGCTTCTGTGGAGCCACATCCTGGTCCCAGCGCTGTGACTCCAGCTCCAAGGCCCGAGCCATCAGCTCCTTCACGTTGGCCTGGTGGGGGGGTAGTGGTCGTGCCCTGCTCACCCAGAAGTCCTGCCACTGTCCTTACCCGCATCTTGTCTGTCCCCAGATCTCCCCCTCTCCTGCTCCTGGCCTGGGACTCACCGCCTCATTGGACAGGAACATGGCCTCCAGTGTCTGGATCTGCCTAGGGGACAGCAGGCTCCCGAGGCTGATGCCCTGCAGATCACCTGCCAGTTTGGGGCTTTTGAGGATGTCGCTGAGGGCAGAGGAAAGCTGGCATGAGGACAGCGAGCCCTGTGGCAGTGTCCCTCAGCAAGGGCCACACCCTCTGCTCCCCAGGGCTCCAGTGTCAAGCCATGTCCACTGCTGTTCAGTTGGCTCCAGGCCTAAAACCCTGTAATTGTTGAGCATGCCCTTCTTTCCCCCACACTCCTGCTCTAAGAGTGGCCTGAGCTGGGCAGTGCACCTAGGAGCCTGAGGCAGGAGGATGCCCGCCCGTCTGTGTCACATGGGGAGGTCAAGGCCAGCCTGAAGTACACAAAGAAGCCCAACTCAGAAATAAATAGATGAACAATAAAAGAGATCCCAAAACCTAAGCCTGGAGGCTGCCTCTGCCCCAGTTGGCTATCACCTCCCTTACTTCAGGCCTTGCTCCCCAAAGGAGCCACCTCCCTAACGCCCCCTGGCACCTAAGAACCCCCCACAACGGCCTTTTGAATCTGATTGCCCCTCACTGGCACCCTGCCCCTCATGCAGACAGGATCACAGGGTGTGCCAGCATGCACAGGAAGGGTGGTGGCCCTGACTGCTTGGTGGAGGCACCTCAGACCACTTTCTTGGCATCTCTGCAGGGTCCCAGGCTCCCCGGGGAGCCCTAGCACTTCTGAAGGGACCTTTGTCCACCTAGAGGTTGAAGAATAACCCTCTGTGGGTCCCCACCCAGCCTGGTGCAGCTGTGTCCTTTGTTCCCCATACTTCTGGCCACACTGGCCTCAGTGATGCCTCCCTGGACTCCACACCCAGGCTGGACTCAGTTTCCGGCTTTGCTCCCCTTCGAGTGCTGGACTAGGAGACCCTGGGTTGCCGGGACAGGAAGGTCGACAGGCAGAGGTTCAAGTGCCCAGTGTTTCCTGGTGAGTCAGGACCAGCCAGCAGGACCAGTCAGTCTGCAGTCTTCATGTGCCTGGTGCCCTCTGCCCCGCTGGCTTCTCACCCACTACCCCACTGTGCTCTGTCAGAGACTGCTCCATGAGCACCTGCAGTCCCTGGACCTTTGTCTGGCTCGCAACTCCTACACCCCATACCTCCCTCCTACTGCAGACCTGACATCCCTCCGTAAGAACCCCAGGCCTCCAGCAACCCCATGCTGCAGTGCTGGTCTCTCCCCTGCGACTCGGGTGGATGAATCTGATCACCTCCCCACTGGCACCCTACCCTCATGCAGGACACATGCAGGGACCAGGCCAATCAGAGGCCACTCAAGGTGTGGAGGCTGGACCCAGCTGGGCACTGGCCACCCTGCTCCAGCACTGCTTGGAGTCCCTCGGAGCACAGAGCCTACTGTCCACTCGCAGGGTGACCCGGACACAGGGCTCTTGCTGATGAGACCTCTGTCCCACTGCACCCTGCGGGGGCTGCCTGGGTTACCTGATCAGTCCCAGCCCCAGATGGTTCACCCTTTGCCCTCCGCCTGCCTTCCTCCCTGCCTGCCTGGTCCCTTGCATGCCCAACTCTCTGTCCTCACTTAGTCAGGCCTGGGCTCCTCCGGGCCTCCTGCGGTGCCCCACACCCCCAGCCCAGGCACCTCTGCCACAGCTGCCCTGCTTCCTGTTCCTTCCAGGACCTCGTGAGTGAAGCCAGTCTCTGTGCCTCAATTTCCCCCACAGCAGAATGTGGCCAGGGTCCAAGGCATGCAGATGAGACCTACCATCCCCCCTGCTGGTCCAGGCTCAGCCCCTCCTCCTGTTTTGTTTTGAGGCTGCTGAGTATTCAGCCCCGGCTGCCTGTGAACACTGGGCAATCTTCCTGCCTCAGCCTCCTGCCTTGGCGCCAGGCCTCGGCCCGGCTTGGTCCCAGTCCCTTCCTGTGTGGTCAGCCCAGTGCCCCGTGGCCCACTGCCCACTGGCTCACTTCGGGTAGAGGTTCTGCACCCAGAGCAGCAGCAGGTAGGTGTCGCGCTCACACAGCTCAAACTGCGTCAGGGCTGCCACGTGGGTGACAAAGTGCTCATGGTAGCTGCGTGCGTAGGTGGCCATGACATCAAACTCAGCTGGGAACAGAGGCCGAAGCCGCTCCACCACGGCCTCCAGGTCCTCCTTCATGGTGCGGCCCATGTGCAGGAAGGTGCCTTCCATCTCCGAGAGGCCCTCGGCGCCCGCGGCTGGCCGCGCTCCCATGCGCTCAGAGGCCACCACAGCCACACCATGCCGCCACTGCTGCAGCCAGCATCGGGGACGCGTGGTCACCAGTGTTGTCACTCCAGGCCCGGCCTCAGCTGCCCGCTGGTCCGCATGTTCCTGTTCAACCACAATGGCCAGCGCCTGGCGAAGCCGCTCAGGCGCAGCGTCCAGGGGCTGGCGCAGCAGACCTAGCACCTGGTCACGCAGCAGTGTGTACAGCGCCTCCACCTTGCTCTGCCGCTGTACCAGCTCCTCTGCGTCCAGGCTGCCTGCCATCGCCAAGGCCACCAGCTCCTGCTCCAGTGCCAGCAGGGACCCTGCCACCTCCAGTCGTCCGTCATCCAGCGCCGCCTTGAGCTCTTCCACTGCAACAGAGACCCTTGTGAGGCTGCACCCTCGACAGGGGGAGGCTATGGCCCCATAGGATGAAGTCCTGCAGCCCCAAGGGTGAGTCCCCATCCTGCTCAGGCCCACCCTGCACCAGCCGGATGGCAGCCCCAGCCTCAATGTGCTCTGGCCTACCTGTGGGCGCCCGGCTGTCCAGCCCCAGCCCAGGCTCTGGCAGCTCCGGCTGCACTGAGCAGGGCGAGCTCTTCTTCTTTTTCCCTTTGAATAAGTTGAAGACACTGGCCAGGGCTTTCGGCTTCTTCTTCTTCTTCACGGCTTTGACCCCCTCCAGCTCTGGAGAGACCCCAGCCTCCAGGGGCGGTGCAAGGTCCTCAGAGGAGGCCTCAGACATGGAGGCTTCTGAGTCTGCCTCTGATGGGGAGGGCAACTTCTGGGGGTGTCTGAGGAAGTCAAGGGTGCCTGGCACAGGACGCTGGTCCAGGAGGCCTTGGAAGGTCATCATCTTCAGCATCACCCTGGCTCAGGCCCAGAGGCTGCTGGAAGGAAAGAAGTAGCCAGTGGGCCCGCGTGCCTGGCTCCCAGGGCAGTGACATCAGAGCCCTGGCCATGCTCTGGTCCCCTGTGCACCGACACCTCCACTCTTCCCTGGCCACAATTCCTGTGCCTCCAGCACCCCACAGTGGCTCCGGGTGTCACCCCTGAAGAGGGAAAAGACTGGGGACACCCTCCAGGACAAACAGAGCAGGGAGAACGGAGAGCTGGGGACGACTCTAGATCCCAGGAGACACTGGCAGGATGCTGCTGTGCACTTATTTTGTGTTTCTGAGACAGGGTCTCCACGTGCACTTCAGAATGGCCTTGAACTCATTATGCAGCCCAGACTGGCTTCTTCCTGCCTCAGCCTCCCTGGGTGCTAGGATTATAGGTGTGCACCACCCTCCCCACCTTGCTGTCCATTTAGGCAAAGAGAACAGAGGTCCAGAAAGGGGACCACACCAGCTGCAAAGAGCACCAGAAAGTTCTCTAGCTGTGGGATCTCGGAAAGATGTCACAAGGGGTCGGTGTCTGACCCTCTGAATGGGTCCCAGGGCTCCTGACTACAGGAGTCAGGACCTGTCAGTGTGGACGGAACATCAGTGATGTTTCACCCGTCCCCAGCAGCAAGGGGCTCTGTGAGGTGCAGGGCTGCCCAGGCCCACCCAGGATCCCCTCTGCCTGCTCCCAAATGGGTGGTGTCATCACCACAAAAGCCCCCATCCCCCAAAACCCACCCATCCTTCTCTTCTCTCCCATCCACAGGGTTTACTCAGGTTCAGAACATCCCCGTGGCCACTGGCTTGGGCCTGGACGTCAGATCACCCGTGCCCTGAACCCAGCTTTCCCCTGTTGCTCCTCAAGCAGCCTGGAGAAGGCAACCCCTCCGCACTGTCAGAGCTGGACTGAGACCACCAAAGGGAGCAGAGGCTTGCAGGACCGTGACATGGTGCCACCTACTTCCCCACTCTCAGGAACGCACACGCCAAGCCCAGCATATCTCACATGCATCAGGGCAACACTGAGTGACCCTGCCAGGCCTGCAAGGCAGACCCGTGAGTCACACCAGCTGGAGGGAGCCGGGGCCAGCACAGGATGCTCCCAGGCACCGCAGGCAGCCAGGACCTCCCTGCACTGTGCCTTCCACCCCCACCTGCCAGCTTCCCCATCCTGTCCCACAGGGTGCAGGCTCACACCCTGAAGCTTGGCAGCAGCCACCGGGCACATGGGATGCCCGGGTTCCTCCCAGCCAATCCCTGCTGTTCTCGAGGCACTAGAGTTTCATCTCAGGACCAAGCTGGGGTGCACCAGGAGCCTCAACTGAGGCCCAGGTTCACAGCCGCGGCGCTTCTGCTCCTCCCAGCTGGTACACAAGCGGGCTGGCCTGTGGGGCCGCTCAGCCCCATCTCACTCTCCCTGCCGCTGCCTCCCGGTCTGCAGCACCGCTGCCTTCCCCACTCCACAGCTCGAAGCCGCTGCCTGCACGCTGCCTCCGTCACCCACCCACAGCTAACACAGCAGAAGCAGCAGCTGCGGGTTCAGCTGCACCCCCGCCCGGCTGTGGACCAGATACCTTGTCACAGACCTTTGCGTCCCGTCAGAAATGTGAAGCGGAGGACCCAGGCATGGTGCAGCCCAGCATGGACCTGCGCCAAGGAGAGTCCCTGGGTCCCTGGGTCTGCCCAAGCGGGGAGAGGGGCGTTTTTGTGGCCCACTGAGGCAGGGTGGGCCTGTGTGTCACTCCCTGCACTCAAACCTAGGCACCGCTCCCTCCTCAGGTCGGGGCTGAGGTCCACGCGGCGCCGCGGCAGGCCCTGGCTGGGTGACAGGGACGCGTAACGAGGACCTGATGTCCACTCCTAGAGGACACTTCGGCACCCAGGCAGGGAAGGCACCTGCGTCAGGTTGCCGGCAGTCTTGCGGGGGCGGGGGCTTCCTGGACACCCTGGGCCCCGACTGGCCCTGGTCTCCTGGGTCACGCCAAGCCGTTCCCTGGGGGATCGGCTCAGGGGACCAGGCCGGGCGGTGGGGACAGAAGCACCATGGCGGAGGAGGTCACTTACTGCGTCCAAGCCGGGCCGCTGCTGTCCCGGGTCCACCCGGCCCTGCCTGAAAATAGCCGAGGCCCCGCCCCGCCCCGCCAGGCCACGCCCACCCCACCCCCCCTCAGCCCGGCACCGCAACCGCGGAAAACCCGCTGGGCCCGCCCGGCCGGGCATTGTCCGACGTGGACCCCGATTGGCTGCCCCAGCGGCCACGCCCCGCCGCGCCCCCCGAACCGCTCGCCCCGCGCCCGGCCTGGGGCGGCCCCTCCGCTAAAGCCCCCGCTCCGGGGACCCCGTGGCCTTGGCAGGGGGCTCGGAGGGCGCGGTGACTTTCAGGTCACCAGGCAGAACTGGGAGTGGGTGGTACAGATAGGTGAGCCGGCGCGGGCGCCCTGAAGCCCTCGCCCTTTCCAGGTCCCTGGAGCAGACGCGACCTGGGGCGCTGGCTTAGACACCCCTGCGCACCCCTGCTCATATCTGACTCCCTCTGTGCCTGCCAAGGGTGGCCTTGAGCCGGTCCTGCTCCTTTCTAGGCCTCAGTTTCTCGTGTGCACTTTCTCAGGGTTTGGACTGGGCTGAGGGGGCCAGAAGGGTGGGCGGGGCAGGAGGGGCACCCACTGGCGACCGGGAGTTCACAGTTTAGAATTCCTGCCCTCGGGAAAGGAGCCTGTCATTCAGGAATTTCCCGCTGGCATCCACTTCCTCTTCTGCCTCTGGCAGCATGCGCCCCCCCCCCCCCGCCTTTGTTTGGCCCCTGTTCTCCCCGTCCTCGAGGGCAAAGGCGTGGCTGAGTGGGGGGCTGTGCTCTGGGGGCGTTCAGGGGACTGAGAACTTCCTCTTCCTCCCGGGGAGTGGTGGCCAGAGCCAGCTCTCAGCCTGGACAGTCACCCCTCCTGTCCCTGGGGTACTAAAAGGGGCTGCTAACGGGGTGGCTTTCAGAGGCCCCATCACCGCTGTCCCCGAGGCCCCCAGGGGTGCTGATTTCCAGGCAAACCCCTGAGCCACAGTGTCCAGGCTGGGGGTCCTTCCGCCTGCTCCCCGGAGCACAGCTGGCGAGACTCAGGGTCCAGCCCCGCAGGGGTCATCCAGAGGGGAGGAGGTTGCGCAGTGGGGCGCTGGCCACTTCGATGGATGGTGCAGCTGGCCTGCCTGAGATCATCGTGCATTTCCCGCAGGGCTGCCCAGCTTCCCCACCCACTGCTCCTAATCCCAAACAGATTGGGAATTTGCTGCAGACCTCAGCTCTGAAGCCCTAAATATACCGCGTCCCCAGCTCTGTGGGGCTGGGGCTGGGCCACCAGCCTTGTCCCCAGCAGCCCCAGTGGCTCACCCAGGGTAGCAGGCAGGATTGGAGGGGTGGTGTGTGCTTCCCCGCGTGGCACCAGGAGCTTTCCCACTCTGAGTCCGGCCTGAGGCTCGAGGGTCCCATGTGAAGTCCCCAGCATAAGGGAAATATGAAACTGGAGCCAGATGGAGGCGGGGAGGCAGAGAGAAAAGGACAGGAGGAGGCCCCTAGGGCACACACTGTTCTGTCCCCCTCTTGACAGTCCCCCAGCAGCCAGCCGCGAGTAGCACCAGGCAGGAAGTCAGTGAGCGTCAGGCACTGACCCTCAGGACCAGCCCTGCCCACTTCTACCTCAGTGGGCTGGGCAGAGTCAGTCCAGCGCTGACCCCATCCAGCCTTGAAGCTATGGAGGCGGCGCATGGCCAGGAGGTGTGGTCCCCTCCTTGCCTGAGGCCTGAGACATGTGGGCCCCTTCCTGCCCAAGCAGTGACTGCTCACTCTGGTTTTAATTATGGTGAAGCATACACAGCATCGGTTTACCCTGTAACCATGGACTCAGTGTCAGCAGCACTGAGCCCATTGCCTCGTCTGCGACCCCGACACCTTCTACCCCAGATCTGCTCCACTTTGCCAGATGGGAGCTCTGGTCCTGTTAGTGCCCCCAGCTCTCCCCGGTGGCACTGTCTACTCAGGGGGCCTCGGGCCAGGGGAAGGACACAGGACTTGTCCTGTCGTGGCCAGGCTCACCCACACTGCAGACCGTGTCCCAACGTCCTTCCTGTTACCCTGGACCTGCATCGTGTTCCACTGTGGCCGTCCCTCCCTCCGCAGGAGCTTGGGTCGCTGCTACTTTTCAGCTGCTGCGAATGGAGTGTTCAGTTTGACTTTGTAGGCAGGCACAGTGCCGGGCTCTGTCCTAGGTGCTCTGCACGTGGAAAATCTTACAAAGTAGGTACTGCATACCCTCTCTGCTCACAGATGAGGAAACTGAGGCACGCGTAGGTCTGATCAAGTACCTGCCAGAGACGGCGCTGCACTGTGCCACCTTGCTTCTCCTCCGGCGTTGCTTGGAACCTGCAGTGTAGCCAGATACACACTTAAATCAGGAGCAAGGAACAACTTGGCCCTAGAATTTAGATGTGGAAAGAAGAATGGTCCTCTTTTTCCTTTCTTTAAAAAATGGTATTAGATGGTTAGGCCTTTGTGCTGAGCTATGTACACACCCAACCTTTTTTTTAATTTTGAAACTGGGTCTTGCTAAATTACCCAGGCTGTACTCAAATTTGCAGTCCTCCTGCCTCTGCCTCCTGGAGTGCGGGGATTACAGGCATGTACTGCCACACCCAACTCCTAATTCCCCACTTTTTCATTGTTTTGTTCAGCCAATTAACAGGGCAGGGCAGGAGGGGCCCAGCCTCAGCAGCCTGCCTGGCCAGAGCTAACACAGGACTGTATTACTGGCCCTCCCACACACATGGCTCAGCTATCGGAGGAGACAGCAGAAGGGAAGTTCTCTGAGGACCAGGGGAAGTTGAGGCAGAAGGGTCTGTGTCCTGGGGGCCGAGAGGTGCAGAGGCCAGGTGCCAAGAGCCTGAGTCGCAGTCTGGCCACAGCAGGAGGCTGCCACAAGCTTGGCAGTGGCCCTTGGCACAGAGGTGCTAGCTGCTGGCTCCGTGGGCTCCTGTGGGAAAGGCGGGGACATGCCAGGATGTCCCACGGCCCCCAGGGCGAACCCACTTCCCTCTGCGCGATGACTTGCACTTCCCACTGCCCAGCCTCCTTCTCTGGACCCGGTCAGGCCTCCCTCTTCCTTCTGTGTCCTCCAGACCTGGGAACTTCCGGGCTTCCCTCACTGACACTGACTGCCCAGGGCAGAGCCACAGAGCCTCCATGGACAACAAGGACACTGAGTCTCAGAAGCAAAACAGATGCAAAAGATTGAGGCTTTGAGGCCGAGGTCCCCAAGAGAGGTTCCCAAGAGAGGAAGCAATGGGCCAGGGTCACTCACAGCAGCTTGAGGCTTTGGCTGGCGTATGCTGACCTCCCTGTGATCACAGGATGGCCAGGACAGCTGACCAGCACTCCCTTGGGATACACTGCCAGAGGGGACGCATGACAGGCAATGCCCCTGGCTGTCACAGTCCTTCCCCATCCTCCCACAGGAAGCTTGACAGCTGGGGACAGGGCTCCTCACATATTTGGCAGATGAGGAAACTGAGGCCTGGGGAGGCCTGGTTCTAGGGGTCCCTGAGCCTGGGTCCTTTCCCTCACTGGAGCTGGCCATGTGGGAGGAAGCAGGGCCCTGGGCAGGAGGATCCAACCCTGGCCGCCTTTGTGGGGAGCACAGGGCAAGAGTGTTGCATGGAGGTGGCAGCCCTGGCCCTGGGGCTTCATGCAGGGTGACTCAGGCGCTCTGGGCAGTGAGCAGTGATGTCAAGCAGACCTCCCATTGCTGGAGACAGGCAGCACCAGCTGTACACAGGCTGTTCTCCTAACTGGTGTGATTTCCAGGAAGCGGCTGCAGTCTGGCCCACTCAGGTCCCTCCAATGACAGCTGGTCCCAGGAACTTCCAGAGGCTGGAAGAGGGCGGAAGGGAGGGAGCTGCCCAGACTCTGCTGGGCCTCCCTGCAGTGGATGGGAGCCCCTGACCTCTGGGGACATGGAGGGGCGGGCAACTGCGTGGATGTGTGTGCAGCTCTGGATGTCCCGGGGCTCAGGCAGAGCTGACACAGCTGCTGTGTGCAGGGCCCCGGCCTTTGCTCTGTTCTGCCTCCAATTTTGCACAGGGAGGCAGAGCCCAGAGAGGTGGAGGAGCCTCCCCAGGGCTGCCCCCTGGCACTGGTGAGGTGCAGAGTGGGTTCCCACCCAGGCCTCCAGGTCCGAAGCTGATCCTTCACAGCAACTCTGAACCCCAGAAACAGCGGGTGCTGTCTGGACTGCCTCCTTCCAAGACCCCACACTTCCATTGTCTGGGGGCTCCACCAAGGCAGATGGGAGCCTTGAACTCATACAGATTTATTTGTATAGCAACTGGCAGGCCTCATCCCATCCCCCCTACCCAGCAGAATCAGAAATCTGACTTCCCAACTAGTTGCTTGGGGAAGCACCACTTTCTGTGGGGCAGAAGGGGACTTCACTTTAAAGAGCCTTTAAACTTTGGACCTGTATGTATTTATTACTCAGTGGGACGGGGAAGCCAAAATTGCTCACAGTGAGCTGGGTTCCTGGGAAGGAGAAGGGGCCTCTAAGTGACGGACAGGTCCCCAGGGCCCCAGCAGAAGGGAGCACTGAGGGAAGCAGGCCTTGTTCGAAGTTCAGTTCCCCCCGACTTTCGGGATGGGGTGGGCACAGCCTGGGCTGAGACCCAAGGACACCTGCCGCAGTGCCTGGTCGCCAACATGGCCACCTGTAAGGCAGCACTACAGTGGCTCACAGCAGACAGACCCCTGCCCAGTCCCCAGGGCCACCGGGAAGGCACTCTTCGTGGGGAGCCAGTCCTGCCCCTCCCTGGACAGAGTGTGGATGGCAGTGGGTAGGGGCCTGCTGCAGCCACAAAGGGGTTTCTGTGGGTGGACTGGGGGTGGACAGCAGCTTTGGGGATCCTGCAGCCTCCTGTCCCCACCTGGCCCCATGAACTGGTGTTGCAGGCAGCCAAGTCAGTTAGAAATATTATAGGCTGTGAGAAAGGGCTGGATCCTCAAAGGAGCCAGTGCAGATACCTTACAACTGTGGGGGAGACAGACAGTTCCTGCTGTGGGCCAGGCCTCAAGACAAAGGATCAAACAAATGCATCCACATCCCAAAGACTGATATTCTAATTAGTTCCTATCACCCTGGAGTCACCATCCCATCCCCCTAGGGGAAAGGTCACAGCTCTAAGGATGCCTGCTTCCTATGTGACTTGCCTTCTCATTTGTCCCTAATGTAATCAAGGGCTATCAATCTTATTGGCTGACTATAGTTCTGTCCCACCTTATGCCCATCTGCTTTGTGAGCTCCCAGTTTCCCCCTCCCTGAACCAATGGTTTTACTCTATAAGTCTCTGGAAAAAACAGAGTCCTTTACAATCTGCTCAGGACCCCTTCTGTCTCTCTTCAGACAGAAACGTTCTCTCAATAAATATATTCTTCACCTCTGTTGTTCCTAAATTTCATTCTTCGGTTTTAGAGAACACAAACTCGTGAACATAGTAGGTTGGGAGTTTCATTCCCCTGTATCATTTGGAGGTCCTACTGAGATCACTGGGTAGAGGTGAGAGTTTGCTTTTGCTTCATAGACTCTGGACTGGGACTCGTGTAGGTAACAAATTTTTATGCTTCAAATTTTGCTTTGTCTTTGCCAGTTGTTTATAACTACTTGTGATAATTGCTTGCTATTTACCCATTGTTTTTAATTGCTTTGTCTCATATAATTTTATTAAAATAATGTGAATCTAAGTTAAAACTTGCAAAATTTATAATGTTATGATATTTCTGTTGTACTCTAAGAAAATAGCTTCGTTATATGTGTATTATAGCAAACCTGTAAAGTGGCTTACTAAATGTGTTTTTTTATCCTTTTTCCCTAACTGATATGTTAAGTGACCTAATTGATATGTTGAGCAATACTCTCCTCTGTAAAGAATTGCAAGAATCTCACCTAATTGATATGTTAACCATTGTTGCCCTCTCCAAACTACAGAAGTTGTGCTAAAACAAGCTAACAAGGGTTGTTAATCACTGTTAGGCACCTCTATTGTCTGCTAAAGAGCTAAAGAAAACTAGAATAGCCCATTAATTTACACTTGTTTAAAGTAACCTGCTTGTGTGCAGAGAGATTTGCTTATGAGTTTAAGCCTTTACCCTGACCTTGACACATAACCGCCGTTTTCTGTTCTGTATGGCGCCTTATTGCCTCCCTCTCCCCTCACCTATCTATCTAGGCCATAAAGAATTTGGGTTTCTGGTGACTTCTTCCCGACCCGGTGATGATCTGTCATAAAATGAGCCTGCCCCAAATTTTAAGAACTGTCTAGCTTCAAAGAAATTACCGGGAAATACTATGGCCCAAACCCCAATCCGTGCTTTCCTTTTGTTCTGTATGCATCAAATGTGTTAGATATCAGATCTTTGTAAAACTTAAGTTTCAGCTTCTTGTAACTCTTGACCTCTTCGCACCCACTAGCGAAAACGAGCTGTCCTGGGATAATTAACTGTCCACTTTCTTCTCCAAATATTGCTGCAGATGTGCCACTCCGAGATAATGTCAGTCTGTAGG